ATGGCTCTCTGAGCTTATCTTAAACAGGAAAGCTTTAACCAGATAGAGACGTGGAAAGTTTGAGAGAAAGGTATGGGAAGAATGTTCTCTTCAAGCTTTTTAATTGATTTGTGGTTTCATTTGAATGTTACTGGAGATACAAGAAATGAGCACATGATTGTGCGCATGAAAATACAATTCTGGAAAATGATCAAGGTTTTAGATTATAAAATCCATTTGATGTAGCCACAAGCAATCCTGTGACATTTGCTAGTGTCAGGGAAGTTTCTTTTCTTTTTCTTTTTTTCTACAATCTCTGTACCCTCATCTCTGTAATAAGAGTTATTAAATAAACATAAGAGTAATAATGACTGTTATAAATAAACTACATTGCTTTTCATATGTTGGAGGTCTGTCATTTTAATATTTTACAACCAAGGCTGTAAAAAACACTTTAAAACAGTAATAATACAAAGCATTAATTTAATGTGGAGTAACTGTTTTAATATTGTGATATACACTACTGGTCAAAAGTTTGAGGTCAGTTTTTTATTTATTTAAAAATTTTTTAAAGAAAACTATTCTGGGGTACATTTCTGAAAATCATTGTTGGCCAACTAAGGTCGCAAGTTCTGTCATTACAAACATAGTTCATTGATTTGCTGTTTCCCAAATCTGTCGTTCCAACGAACATTCGCAAACTGCGTCACAAACTTGTGCACTTGCAACTACTCCTCTGGAGTTGTAGTTAGAAACATAGTTCCTGGCTGTGTTGTATTTACAGTTTTCCCCCCTATGCCCTTTTCATTTAGAACATTCTAACATTTAAACTTGGAATGATTTTTAAAAAAAGTAATAAAAATAATAATTTAAAATTTTTAATTAAGGTCATCCCTCTTAGGTGTCATTTGCTTTCAAAGTATTTTTACAGTTCAGTTTTAGTGATCTTCATATTGACAATTGTGCTCCATTCGCAGTGCACTTTGAAAGCATTTATGTCATTCTGAACACAGTTAAGCGGAATTTATGTTACGTCTCCAAAGCTAGTATATTTTTTACAGTTATTGCTTCAAAGCTTGTGAAAACAAAAAAAACAGCATACGTTAATACTTTCATTTTATAGTAGGTTATTTATTAAGAAATGTAGCATACAGTATATGACATGGGCCTATTGGTTAGAACATTTTTACAGTGGTTTGCATGTGTAAAATGGTAAAAGTAGACTTTTACAAAATAAATAAATAAACAAACAGTATTCTGCTTAATAATAATAATCATCACCATCAATATTATTATTAATATTATTATTGTTACAGTAAGAATTTTTTTTTCATTTCCTAATAAATATTAAGTTTAATTTCTTAATACATAGCCTGATTATTTATTTACTTACATGATTTATATATGAGATTACAATATGTGGTAGCTTTTGTAAGTAGTTATTTTTTATGTTTTAGAATAGAATATGTAATGTTCTCAAGAATATTTGTTAAGGAAATGTAGGCTCTGTATGTGCTGTTTACATATATTTCAGTTAATATGGAAAGCGAGTGCATGTTTTACCAAAAATAATATTGGATTTTATTTTAAATGCATGTGCATGTAAAACAATATATAATTCGCACAAAGAAATTATGGGGTTCTTCTCTAAAAACGTTACTCCACCCCGTTTAGAGCATCATTATGGGCGTTTTACGTTATAACTAACTTGGTTCAAACGATGGATCTGCGACAGTGAAACTAGGGGTTTTGCGAAACACTCGTCAATACATCAATCTTTTCGCAAACGATGCATCTTACTATGATAGTTCAACCGTGAGTTAGGTCGTTGTTTGGGAAACGCACCCCTGTTCACCAAGGTGGCATGTATTTATTGTCTCACTTTATTAAGTCAGTGTATTTTTATAAAACATAAATGAGTCCCACTTTATATTATGTGGTCTTAACTAATATGTAATTGTGTCTAAAAATAAAAACAATGTACTTACTGTGTAAATAATGTATTTGCAGAACACTTCTGGTAATTTAGAGGTGGGATACGGGGAGGGTTAGGGACAGGTTTAATGGAATAAATAGATTTATAGGTGGGTTGAGGTGTAAGGGATGGTCAACAGTGTAGTTGCAAATATAGATGTAATTAGGCAAGGGTCGATAACCATTTTCAAGGTTTACCGTGGTTTGGAAAATCAAGGTTTTAAAACCGCCAAAATGTTCTGCTATAATGCTCCTATATGCAACATTTTTAATTTACTTTTGTTTTCTTTTGGTCAACAGTAACTCCAGCAGAAAAGATATTCAAAGATGTTGTTTTAATTTGTAAAGAAATCAGTGTTTTTTTTAAATAATATAAACAGCAGAAGTCTATGATTTATTAGAATGAATTACCTGGACATGTTTAGTGTTACAAAATATTTTAAATGTTTCTCAAAATAAAATATATTGCGTTCAAAGGTGAAAAAAGTGTTGTTGGTTTTTTACCCAGACATTAAAAAAAGAATATATATTAGTGCAGTAATCACAATACGTTGATCTTTTTATTTAAGATTAACATACTGTCAGAATCTTATACCGCCCCATGCCTACTATGGATAATAAGGTGCAAGGGATGGTCAACAGTGTAGTTGCAAATGTAACTACAGAAATTAATTACAGATGCAATCTGTAGATACAGGTATTTAATTAAACATAGTTACAATGTAAAAAAACAAAACATGTATTTACACAATTAATACATTGTAACTAATTATTTATTTCAGTGTGAGTACATAGTAAGGGCACCTCACAATGTGGGACTCAAGAATGGTTTAATTTCCTTTTGGAAAAAAACTTTATCATTGATTACACATTTTATACAGCAGTAATTTTTTATATATTTACATTCAAGTGTTGTATAGTGTTGCAGTATTTGCATTGTGGCATATAGTTTTATTTTGACAATGTGCATTTAGCATTATCATAATCATTTCACTGTAATCTATACTTTGGGGTTAAGAAATGCTGTTTAATAATTGCATCAGCCCTTATAAACGTCCCCAGTTGTAGTTGAAAGGCCACGAAGACGACATGTTTACCTTCACAGATGATTACAGTTAATCTCTGTGTATCAGATGCCCTGCCGTCAATTTTCAGTGTTTGGTAATAGTTGTGTGTACACAAGAGAGAGAGAAGGGAGAGGGAGAATTTAAATAGTGTCTCTAACATTTGCAAGACTCGGAAAGAATAACGTCATGCACACCCATCTTTAAAAAATAAGTCTGACATGTGACAACAGATAGCAAAAGAAAAGCTGCTCTTCAATCACAACAGGACAAATCCACCGGCCCCTGAATTCAGTCAGAGAGAAAATGAGGGGAATTAACACCCATGGAAAGTATGCTGTGGGGAGAGCTTGATAACACAGCTGCCCTTCTGCCCAGCTCAGCTGATTTAGATTTTCCATTGAGATGGGAGGGGCAGCATGAAAGAGAGATGCAAGATGAGCGATACAGATTATTGTTTTACCACACTGCATGTCCTCAAATGGAATGACTGATTTGAGCAGAGACCGGCCGACCTGGATCTGAGCAGCATGGAAAGCAGTGGCACATAGTTTCCAGGACTTGCACTCTCAGGGTGTGTGTGTGTGTGTGTGTATGTGTGTGTGATTAGTCAGCAGAGCCATTCGTTTCGGTTCAGAATGGGAAAGTTGGGTGGAGTCAGCTAGCAGAGTCAGCCCCCCCGTAATGGGCGGAGCCTGTTGCTGTGCCGCTGAGGAGTCTTTATATAAAGAAGCCGGATGAGTGAGCTGCAGTCCCACGAAGCCGGCAGTGCAGGAGAGAATAGAGCATTCCAGAAGATTCTGCCTCAGCTGAAGCAGCATCACGTGACCACAATACGAGGACGTTACTCAACCTGACCCATTTCCTTTCTGAAAGCCCCGAAGGCTCTCTGCTGGATTGACAACGTCTGAGAGAAGGAGGAAGAAAAGGAGCAGTGAAGAGGGTGTTTTTGAAGCATTTGTTTCCTGAAGCAGGCGTCATTTGTGTCCTCACGCTGGGGAAGGCAAAACGGACACGTCTCAACCCCTCCTGCCCTTTACATTCTTTAACCTCTCAAGTCCTCCGGAGGATCCGTCAACGGGCTTCAGTCATGCACCTGAAAACAATGAAGTGCAACCCTTTCTGCCTTATCGCTTCCTTAGAGGATCCGGACATGTTTAACAGTCCTGTGGAGATGGTAAGGCTTCATTGGCATGCTGCCTTAAGGTATCAAAATAGCTTGAATGCTGGGATATTTTAAACAAACTAGCGAGGATGCAGATGTTTGGGCCATTCATTATAATCAAGTGCAAAAAATGAATAATTTGCAGCAGACTAAATGAACCAACGTAACTATGTATTTACACAATAGTCCGAACTTGTTTGATTGTGGTGGTGGCAGTGGTTAGATCACGGAATAAAGCGCTGTTGGAACATTAATGAGTGTTTGGCTAGACAGTTTGGGGGTTTTGAATCTGACGCAAGCGCTTACGCACACATGCATGCATACACACCTATGCACACTGGGAATAACTCAGGATTTGTGGATCCAGCTTGAAGTGGTCCATCAGGGCTGGCCCTGTCAGCTCCGTTTGTGCGTTCAGCGTGCAGTAAGTCTCTGTTACCTTGGAAACCAATATCTTGGCGAGCTCTGACAGACGCTGGTCATTTTTAGGATGTGTATTAGATTAGTACTGTGTGCGTCAGTACGGTTTAATATAGAAGCGTTTACTGAATATCAATCTGGCTGCATCCCTAAAACAAGCTAAAAGGATTCATTGCTGTAATGTCTTACAAACAACACATTGTGGCAGGTTATTTAATAACTTAATGCTGGCTATAAAGGTGGCCACTTTGAGACTAAATTGGGACGATTTTTAAACTCAGAATTTCTCCACAGGAGATTGCTGTTTGTGTAATCTTCAGTCACCTTGATTTGTTCATTTCTGTTTCCACTAGCATATACATAGTATATTAATCTGAGATGTTTCCTCTGATTTACAGGCAGGATTTGAGGATCTTTTCCGTGCCTTTGACCGAAATGTCACTTTCCAGTTCTTCAAGAGTTTCCGTCGGGTGAGGATTAATTTCACCAATGCTTTGGCCGCTGCAGAGGCAAGAGCAAAACTCCACAAAAGTGACTTCAATGGCAGAGAGTTACGACTCTATTTTGCACAGGTATGTGTCTAAAGAAATAACACAACAACTAAATAACAATTTAAATTGTAGTAAATATTTTTTAATATATTTTAATGATTATTTGTCTTATGTTATTATATAATTCAAAATACATTATTATTCTTATTATTACCATTCTTCTTCTTCTTCTTCTTCTTCTTCTTCTTCTTCTTCTTCTTCTTATTATTATTATTATTATTATTATTATTATTAAACATGTTTGACTATATAATTTAATGATTATTGTATTATTATTAAATAAAATATTGTAAATGTATTAATAAATATTATTATTGCTGTTATTGTTTGATAATAATAATAATTATTATTATTTTATTATTATTAGAACAAAATATAAATTATAAATCTACAATTTATATTTTGTTCTAATAATATTAATAGTTATTATTATTATTATTACATAGTATCAATACTAATTACTATTATTATAATAATTATTTTATTATTAAATATCATTACAATTATTAATAATAATATTGTTTAATAATAGTAATAATGATTAGATTATTATTATTATTATTATTATTGGAACAACATATAAACTGTATATACAATTTAGTTAATTTTATTGTCTGCATCACATCTGTCTTACCCATTTGTTTTTATATCTGCATTTTAAAACAAATTTCCCCCTTTTTCTAGTCTGTCCACATTGGCAGTCCACACCTGGAACCTCCTAAACCAGATAAACAGTTCCTCCTTTCCCCTCCGCCATCACCTCCTGTGGGTTGGGAGCAGGCAAAAGACGCCACGCCCGTCATTAACTATGACCTCCTGTGTGCCATCGCTAGACTAGGGCCAGGTACATCTCACATTCTTTTATTCCTTAAATTCAATGTTGTTGTTTTTTTTTTACACTGGTTTATGGCTAAATGCAGGGGTGCCCAATTTTGTTCCTGGAGGGCTAGTGTCCTACAGAGTTTAGCTCCAACTTGCTTCAACATACCTGCCAGGAAGTTTCTAGTATGCTAGTTAGAGCTTGATAAGCTATTTAAGTCTAATTGGGATTGGAGCTAAACTCTGCGGGAGTTTAGGCATCCCAGGTTAAATGGGTCAGTAATTAATTAATTAATTTAAAATTGCCTCCTTCTAAGAGTGAACTCTTTCTGTATGGCAGGTGAAAAATATGAACTCCAACCAGGAACTCCGACCACTCCAAGTGTGGTTGTTCATGTTTGTGACAATGATCAAGAAAGCTCAGGAAATGAGGAGGATATGGACGGAGGTGTACGTCAACGTCCGAAAATCATTCAGACTCGTCGTCCGGAGTACACTTCCTCAGTTACACAGTGAGCCTAGGGGGACTGTCATTGTGCCATAATCTTTGCTTTTACTGTCAAAGGACCCTCTGGGGGGGTGGATTTCTGTCGTGGCATGCAGTTGGTTTTTCAGACCACTAGAGGACGCCTTAAGACAGAACCCCAGCCCTGTGGAGAGAGAGAGACATCACGTATATGTCCACCATCTCACAGGGCGAGAGGCTTCACTTGCATGCATTTGATGGTAGAGCGACTCATTTTTCAGCAGGCCGGGGGTTTTCAAGAGTGCTTTCATTGGTAACTGTGGCCATGGAGAACACAGAGTCTCCTATAGTGTAGTGTTTTTGTAATTTTGGGAAGCATGTTGAATCCCAGTCAGTGGGTGTGTTGAAAATATGAGTTTATCTTTTATGTTAGGTTAGCTTGATATTTTCAGGCTCTTATTCTAATAACTTGATGTGCAAGAGTGGAACTTCAGCTAGGGTAAATGCTGACTTTTTTGTCGTAATGTGGGGTTTAATTTTTTCAGTCATATGGCAATAGAGTGCGTTGATGCCCGATCCAATTTTTGCAGCAGTGCTGGTTCTGAAAGTCTCGTTCATATTTCCCCATAGGGGTTTTTATGTTATACGCCTTGTAACCAAACCAAACAGCTATGAGGTGAATCACAATTACAGTTACAATATTTGGTAACATTTCAATAAACACGTGTCTGTTATTAAGATTATGTTGATGTTGATTAGTACTTAAGTACATATTCTACATAATCTTATTTTACATACCTAATCCTACCTAATTTCTACCTTCATAACAAATAAAAAGGAGCAAATTAGAAGTTTAGGGCTAAAGTCATTATCAATGGTTTATTAATAGTGAGATTTGTATACAGTATGTGACTTAAATTTTGATTTAAAGCAAAGAATTATAGTAATCATATAAATAAAAAAAAGGACAAAGACTCACGAAGGCTTCAATGAAGGAAAGATTCACAAGTCCAATGAAGCATTTTGAATGACATTATTGAATTAAAGTTGTTGTTTTTTGTATAAAAAATGTTATATTTCTACTTAATTGTAAAATAAATGCATTTACATACACTGGTAGAGTTAGCAAAACTGAATTTTGAAGCTGTTTCATGTGGGAGTGGGTGGAGCTAAAGATCTCTTGGTAAACTTTTCTTATTGCAGCTCTCTGATTGGTTGAATTTCTGTACAGCATCATGGGTATTGTAGTTTTTCTGTACAAAATCAGCTATTAAAAGGTGTATACAAAAATAAATTGAATTAATTTGAATAAATGTGTTAAATTAAGAACCAGAGTTCAGAAATGGTCTGGATTTTAAGGTTTATCAGGCTATATTAATAAAATAACAAACAAAAATGACCATATGGGGAAAATGAATGGAGTTTTTATTTCAGGAACCCGGCTGTTGCGCTTCATTGTGAGTCTCAAAACACCATGTGCCTCGGCGTGTTCCTAAATGAAGTGCTCTAATATACCTGACCTTTTTTAAGCTAATTCGTTTAGATATCTAATGCATTTAATTACTTTCTGAGAGCCCACCATTCAAACCCAAAGTAGTCCTTTAAGATTTTTTTGAATGAACTGAAAGGCATGGTCCTCGATTTCATGCACTTGAGTTGTTTGTTGGACCATAACACTGTAATTGGGTTTTGATGGAGGACTGTTACCAATATGAGCACCAACTGATTTTATTACATTAAGCTCAATAGTGTGTTTCCTATGCCTTTTACTGTATATGTCTGTATATAATGGTATACGCATTCTTTTTTACTTGATTTTGAAAATGTCACTGACTTGGCAGAGGCTTGGGTGTGACCTGCCATACATGAATAACAGCCATAACTTCATTAAAAAGTTAATTTTTCTTCACAAAGTTGTGCCTTGTCTTTTTTTAATTTTTTTCATAAAGAGTAACCATATTTAACGCTGCTATATTATAACATTTCTGACTAACAGCCTACATGCCTCTTGAGATTTATGCATTTAGGCATTTTCAAAAGATGACTCAGCGTTCATCCAGTATGCTGGTATATCGCAATAATGACGCAAGTGGAGGACTTTTCAAGGTGATGTCTCTCTTTTTTTTTTCGTTTTTCCTTGAAATAGAATCTGTGGGTCTCGAATGCCTGCCTGCCTCAATGGACAGCATTGTTCCCACTTGCATGTGGAGCTATTTCACACCAAGGTCAAGTTAGAAAAGGTGATAGAAATATCTACAGTCCCCAGTGACTCATCTCCACCAACATGCATTTTAAATAGCTTGATAATGTCTGTAAGAGGCATTGAAAACATCATAGAGTCTCTGATGACTGTTAATTAGAGCCAGACTGATCTGATCACAGCTTTAGTCTAGTAGGCAGAGTTTTAGACCTAGACTTTTCTCCATGAAAAAGCTGATAATGACCTTGACTTGTTTTACATTCATTAAAGTTGTTGACATCTTGAGAGGGTTGGATCTTTGTGAATAAGTCTGTGTATGTAAATGGTTGGGTGGAACCGTGATCCCAGATGCTATCCTGTATTTCTTAGTGTATTTTATAGGTACGCTGCAAGGAGACAAGCAGGAAAGATCCACAATACAAATTTTTTTTGACATTTTGCAGTAACTGGAAAGTCCCCATTACCACCAAAGACTGTAAGGTATGCCTGTTTTATATATAAAGATGTTTTAATTTAGCTCTCGTAGTTGTTTGTGTGTAGAAAATTATATATTTTTTAAAAATATGATTTTAAATGTTATATGATTTGTTTTTATTCAGAAAAAAACAGCTAAATAATAATTAATATTCTACTTATTAATATTACTTGTATTTAGTATTATTATATAATTTTATGCGTCATGTGTCATAAGCCTTTCCTAAATATCAATGTTAAAAAGATAGGTCACAATTTATTTTATGGTACAGCTCTCACTATTAATAAATCATTAACTATAACATTTGCCTCTGTAAACTCCTAATCTGCAGCTTATTAATGGTTATTGGGGTAGTAGGTTTAGCTGTAAGGTAGGATTAAGGTTGTAGAATAAGATCAAGAATTATGTACTTTGATTTAAATAAGTGGTTGGATATGTGTGTATAGCATCTTTAGTTGAACTACCAATAGGGTATGCACAGTTAGTGTTTCTTCACATACCGATAAACTTCCGGTAAAAGGTTTATATGACTTTTAAAAATTTTATAAGGTTCCTTTTACAGCATTGATGTTGTAATGTAATAAAATATAATCAGTTAAATAGACTTAAGCATTCATTTAGTTGTTCATGCATAAACAAGATTAAAAGCCATTTATAATTATGCACCATCAGAAGCAGGTGAGCGCAGAAACTCCATTGAAAATAACGGGATAAAATGAATTTATAGTTTAAAGACAGGGCGCAGAAGAAAAAAATATTTAATGCAGTGCTTCGTGTACATTCTGAAACACACTTTATATCGTATATAAACCAGGCAGTAAAGACAATTAATTTTGTAAAGAAAATTGACTTTAAATGTGCTGATTTTGTAACGATGTACAGTTCACTGGAAGTGTCTGACCTAGGTTACTGAAAATATATATACTGTTTTCTCACTGTTAAATAGTAGCTTATTGCCTGTCTATTAAGATATTAGCTGTTTATTAGTACTGATAAAATATATATTCTACATACTCTGTCTTATTTTACACCAACTAATAGCTAAACCTACTACCAATAGCTGTTATAAGCAGCAAATTAGGAGTTTATTGGGTAAGAGTTACACTTAATGGTTTATTAATAGCAAGAAGTGTTCGTTAAACTAAAGTGTGACCGAAATTTCTTCCAAATTCACCTTTTAATGTTTGTGTTTGAATATATAATGACAAAACTGACATTTAAGCATAACTAGCTTTTAGATCAAAATGATGTCAAACAAATTGTTGACATATTTGAGTAACCCATTGACTTAACTTCCCTTTTATAATTATGCACCGTTTGTTTACTAAATAATGAAGCAACAAATGTTTTCTCTTTTTTTTAATAAAGTCACCTAATCACGCTATTTACAGTGTATGAATATACTGAGTCGACTTGTCTGTATGAACAGTGTGAAGAATGCTGGAGCAGAACTCCACAGATGTGCATTCCCTGCTGGTTTCCTGGTTCCAGCAGTACTTTAATGAGAGCTGGTCAATAGGAGCAGCTCCACACGCATCTCCCCATCCTCCACCTGTGCATCTGAGCGGAGATAAAGGTTACGGCATGATCTACATCTGTTTGATGGTGGGACTCTTCAGTTTCTTTACCTTTGGCATCATGTTCAGCTACATCCGCTCAAAGAAGGTGGAGAACTCACGGGATCCCTATCATCAGTATATAGCCAAAGACTGGGATAACATAGCATATCCTGTGGTCATCAGCAACCCTTCTGCTCTTGCCCAACTTCCAGGGTACAGTGGAAAAGACCAGGATTCAAGCTAGATTACTGATGGTGGAAAGTGTAGCAATCTGATTGTCTGTTTCTTTAAATTGTATGTTCTCAACTGTTGTTAGTTTAATGAAATTCACGTAAATGTGCACAGAAATAAATGACAAACTATTTAATTTCTACAGTGTGTTTTGCTGTATTAATCATACAGGATCATCCCAACTCTGCTCTAAAAGCAAAAAGCAGAAACTACATATTTGGGCAGAGTTGTGACAGAGTCGCCTGGTTCATTTTATCCTGTTTCAGATGTAAATTGCAGTAACTGCAAAATCCAAGCTGGTGTAAAAACTTTAAAGGCATTTTGTTCTGTTTCAATGTTTACGTAGATACTGTACCATACTATGATTGTTAGGGTGCTTTCACACTTGGTTTAGTTGCCTGGACTGTACACACCTTCTCCTGCCTTCCCCCCTTGCCACCTTCTTGGTTTGTTTGTGTTCACACTGTCTTTTTTCCTTCTGAACCCCGGTACGCTTGCGTTGTCGAGCTGCTGTTGTGTGTATGGCTGTTGCTAGGTGACGCCCACGAAAACAAAGCGACAAAATGGAAAGACGTCCGCACATCACGGTTGTTCTGCTTTCACTGAATCTTTTGGTTTTGGACATACAGAAAGCGACTTGCATCCATCTGCCGCAAAATTATTATAACTCTATGTCTGCAGAAGCTGTTTTTGGAGGAGACAAGCAGACATTATCACTGTGCTTGCCCTGGCTCAGTCCCTACGTGATAGACTCACACAAATGAACATTATGAAAACGATAGTTTGTTATACTGTTGGCGGTTCACTTGCGTTATTTGGTACGATTGCATTCGTACCAGATGTGAACCGGACCAGAGTTTGCGTGAACTGTACCCCAGACCACCTCTTTCAGGTGGACTCGGGATGGTTCATAAATGCGCAACCGAGTTCAGAAGACACGTTCACACTAGCTAAACAAACTGCACTCTGACGTCAAACAAACCCGGTGCGGACCAAAAGTGCTAGCGTTCGTGTGAAAGCACTCTTACTGTGCTCCAAAACAAATACACAATTTGTATTTTGACATAAGCATTCAAACCTTGCCGTTTCTATCACTACACTGTAAAAAAAGTTGACTCGGCTTAAAATATTAAGGCAACAAACTTCAGGACATTTTTGAGTTAACTTTCAACCCAATTACTGCACTTGACTCGATTTGAGTAAACTCAAAAATGTCCTGAAGTTTGTTCCCTAAAATTTTTAAGTTCAGTCAACTTTTTTAGTGTACCATCAACAAGGTCCAAGGATCAACAAATGTTTTTAAAACATAACTGTGCACTTGCGCTTCTCATCGTAACATGATGAGCAGAAAACATTGCTCCTCGGTGTTTGAACTTTCAGCAGTGAAATTAAAACCACACTGAGCTGAACTAAACTGAACTTGAACTCTGAAATCTGGACTGACGCAGTTTCAATTTACTAGAACTT